TGCCTGGCTGAAGCAGCTCATAACTTCCACGAACAATCTCCTAACCCAGTTTCCCACATATTTACATGACATTCTGTGCTTATCTCTGTCACTGCATCTAGTGCATGTACTAGTATAAAGATACTTGTCTGCTTACTTGTCTGTATTCTCTTTTGGGTTTTAAGACCTCGACGGCAAGAACTGTTTTCCACCTTGGAATATCCACCACTTAGCAATACCTGGTACATAGCAGATACACATAAATGTCTGAAGCATGAAAGAATTTTATGAATTGTATTAAAAAACATTCTAGAATGTGTTATGAATATATCAAATTTGTAGTTTAAACTTACATAAATCTCAAATTCACTAACTTTTTAAATTGAACTTGCCTTAAATCAATCTGCCTTCTCTTTCTCTCTCTCTGTATTTAGAAATTCTGTGCACAAGTATGCTAGAAAAACGTATTAAGTTTTATCCAGTGTTCACACAGACTCACACACAGACACCACATAATAGATACATAGTAAATGCTAACTGATCAATATAATTTTGGCTTATCCTAGAAATAAAAACTAGTTAAGGCAACCTTCAGACATCCTCATACATGAAAGCTAAGTAAGGTGTTTTAGCCACAACATTCAGTAAATGTCACTATGAATTAAAAGCAAAAAAAGTAATATTCATTCTTAGTGAGACTGACTGTAGAAATGGCTTAATTTACCACATAATATCAACTGGGAAAATGTCATTTGATTTCTAACAAAGAACTATTACCTTTACTGGTGTTTTAAAGAGGAAATGAATGAAACATTTTAAGAAACTTTATATTAAACAATGTACCATCAGACAAGATTCTAAAGAAATACTCTTAGATGGAATTGAACATCAGCATTCTGGACCCATATATTTAATAGAATGACTAATAATATTAAAAATAGTAATAGTTAACTTAATTTTAAATTAAATTTAAATTTAAATAAAAGTTAACCATGAGCTACGTGCCTGGCAATATTCTGAGTCCTGTACACGCATTCAATCACTTTACCCTCAGAACAACCATCTGAGGCAGGCGCTACTCAGTTTCACCCCTGAGCAGAGGAAAGCCCACCTCGATGATGCGCCCCACTCTGGTCACAGTGAGAGAGCTCGGACTCTGCCCAGAAAGTTTTCTTAACCACTGTGCTCTACCTTTTCCCTAAAAGGTACTCATCGGTTATACTTTGGTGGCTAAACTACATAATGATCTAAGAATAATTTTTTCAGTAATTTTCTTAAATTGGAAATCAGAAGAAAAAGACAAGCGATGAGCTGCTGTCATTTTCCAGCTGTACAACGTCAGGTATGTCCCTTTACTTCTCCCAGTCGCAGTTTTAGCAAAATGGGATGTGGAACATCTACCTAGCATACCTTAGTACTCTTCTCATGTTCACCCAGGTTTCATCTGAACTAAGACATACTATAAAAAAATATATATAGATTAAGATTAAGTTAGATGGTGCATATCAAAGTGTTTTAGAAAGTATAGAATGCTAAGTCAATATAAATGTACTTTTATTAAATTTATTATCTTAACTCTCTTATGATCAATGATATAAAAATAATTTAGCCATCCCTGCTCTCCTCTTCCATACTTGAGTCTTTCATATGACTATACGATAGAATAGGAAATATAAATGTATTTATTCATAACCAACTAAAATAACGCAGCAAATCAAAAAAGTCATAGCAAATATTCCTCTGCTTTAACCAGAGCAAAAGAATTTTTCTGAAACTCAAAATTAAGAGTCTATAAGACAAAAACAAACAATCAAATCAGCCAAACTGGTATCATTTTGAGAAAACCCATATTGATCTTAATGATTTTTGATAAATAAAACACATACCTAAATGCCTGACAAATTTATGGAAACAGATTTTAATGAAAAATGACAAAAATGTGTTGTTTTCTTATTTCTTTTAACTCATTCTTTCTCTACTAGAGGGAAATAAAAATAAAATTCCAGAAAACTAACAAGTTTAAAAATGCCTAAAACATGAGTAAACAACCAGGTTGCTCTTCGGTCTTAAAGAATTTCTTAAATTGATCTTTTTAAATATTAATTTCTTATATGCCACTTGAAAGGAATTACTTTGCTTAAAACTACGACTGGTGATTGCAGCTAATGAACTACTGCTAAAAATATTACAAGGTACTATTATATATACATCTACATATATATTAAATATGTAGATATCTGATATCCTTTTTCAGAAAAATGTGACAGCCTTGTGATGGCCTAGATACCACACTAGTTGCTAGTAGTTCCGGAGACACAATAGTGAATAAGATATGGATGACTCCTATTCTCACTGAGTTTTAGATTTATCAAGGGAGCCATGTATTTAATAGTTTTTCAAGTGTAATTTTGTTAAGTGCCGTGAAAGGTAAGTACAGGGTGATATAAAAATGGACAATAGGGAAAACTAGTGTAGTTTGAGACTTTAGGAAAGACCTCCCTAAGGACATGAGACTTGCAGATAAAGGATTTGGTTAGGTAAGCGGTGGAGTGGGGGTTTGAGTGGGATGATTTCAAGAGGGGAGAACAACAAAATGCATAGAGAGTTCAGAGTGGAAGGAGGCTGGCACATTCAATGAACTGAAAGAAGGCTTGCTTGGCTGGAGCAGAGCAATCAATGGGGAGACCCACGGGAGACCATTCATGCAAGGCTTACAGGTCAGCTGGAGGACACTGTAGTCATTGAAGCCATAAAGCAGGGCAGTGACATGATCAGAAAAGGTGAAAAAATATTTAAAGTCATGATCGCTCATGGGCAAATATTAAATTTTATCAAACAACATCAATAATGAGAAATTATAGAGCCATTTGGAAATTACTGATTTTAAAGTGAATAGAGAAATGCTATATTTAGATAAGATATTGAGACAAGAAGAATTTAAAAAGTGTGGTATATTGGAGTTAAACATTAGAAGCCATTTGCTTCAAGGACAAAAGTAAGAATAAAACTTCAAAAGATCTATCAGTCCTATGTCAAAGAAGAATCTCAAAATTATATTTGGTACCACAAATATGGTCAATTTACAGACCTTATAAAAAGAGATGCTAGAAATAATTATGTTTATTTATTGTGTTACTATTGAAAGTTCCATGGGAAGAGTCTCCAAAACAGAACAGATGCTCAGCCTGCCCTAGGTTGAATACATACAGTTCAGGTGATATTAATATAAATATTTCACAAAGTTTACGAAATTACTGGAGATTTGTTAATGTCCTAGCTGTCCGTGATCTGTTTTTACCCACGGGGAAAATGCTGACGAAGACTCAGGAAATAGTTCTCATTATGAACTTTTATCAGACTTTCCTTATTTGAAAGTTATCAATATTAAATTAACTAGGGCCATTAAGTCTCTGTCCTCTGCCGATAGTTTTGTTTTACTCTCATGCTTGCCTGGAGGCTCTGTTATATGCTACAGGCTAGAACTGTCTTCAACAAAGGACAGTCTGAGGGAAAGGACTCTTTCAGGTACTTCAAACCACTGACACTCTCGACTTTTAGGTATAGGCCTCTGAGCTGACAGCGCTTACGTAACTTCCAGACTACAGCAGTAAACTAAGTCAGGGTTACTAGAATCCTCGGATGCAGGGGGCTTCAAGAATTAATGACATAGGACTGACCGCATGAACTCATAGGTCTTATTTTATTTTGGTTCTCTGCTTGGAAAATTGTTTTAGTTTCCACACACATAAGGAAGCCCTTGCATTTTCTTTTTAAACTATCTATAGACTGTAACAATTTAATAAACCCTGCTTTTGTAAATGAAATAAAACATTTAAAACTCTCACTAAACCCCCAGTTCTCCTTACTTTACATGGCAATATAGTTATTTTCATAGGCTCATAGACTCCACCTTTTTATTAGGATACAACTGAATAAACTGATTGTGCAACTAAGGCCTTACTGGAATGGCCATATTTGTTAATGATGCTCATTGTGCCAAGGAGGACCAGGTGCCTTTAAGGAACTGAGGCTGATTTTACTTATGGATAAAATGTCTATAAAGTAAATCCAGAAAACGTGGCCTGATATTTGGCTGGGACGGTGCAGTCTCCCAGGTGAAGAAGGTTACCTCCCGGCAGGTTAAGAATATTAACAAATTTTGGTGATCCTCAGAGAAGAGGAATACGCCCAAAGGTTATGCAGGTGAAATCTGGCATAGGGTCTATTGGGTTTGGCTTCCTAACCTCAAGTTAGCAAACAAGAGAGTCTTTTAAAAGTCCAAACTGAGATTCCTTATAAAAACTTGCAGATAGAAATGAATTAATCTGAAGCTCTAAGGCATTTATTATAGACAAGTCAGTCAGCCTCCCATACAAACTTCCCAGTCTTTCTGTCTCTCTCTAGCCTAAAAGCTGGTGAAATCTCCCAAAACTCAAATGTTTAAATTGTCATTACTGGCCAAATAGAACAGAAAAACTGTATTAGTTGATTTCTATATTTTATCATTCAAGATCCTTCAGACAACAATGATCTTTGAATATTCATATTTTTCCCAGTTTTTTAAAATAATTTTTTTGTTCATCACAATATCCTGGGCCTTGGTTTTCACATTTATAATACAAATATACTGTTGGACAATTACCTCAAAGAAGACCAATTAATACTAGCTTAATGTGTTATGACATGACAATTACATCTTTCTTATGTTTTATTTGCAAACACTACAGTAATAAACTCAAAATGATTAAATTCAGAATAATTTCAAGTTCTAAAAATAGTTCGATTTCTTGACAATATTAAAAATACCAGCTATTAGACTACTTTTGCATCAGGTATTAGTATAACAATAATCTTAGTGTAATTTAATTTTTACAGTTTACACATGAAAGTATATTAAAGAAATAAAGTAATTTTCTATTTTAAATCTGAACAGCCAAATCAAAATATTCTACATGATTTATGTCACATGTAATATTAGTTAGCACTTTAAATGACTGGATATGTGTTCAACTCATACTTACCCATGAAATTGAGATAGCCTTCTCCGCCAAGCGCGTGAGTAATGAGTCGAATCATTTTATGAAGCTGTATTCCACGATCAATAACTGGAGTAAATGGGGTCAGAACGCTCATGTTGGTATACATTTCGGCATCCATCAACCAAAATGCCAGTGACTTATCCCCAACGAGTGCCTATTAGAAATAAAAGTGATTGAGATAAATGCAAAGAATAGGTACTAAGCAGCTGGGATTTACATGAGAATAACTCATGATTACACAGGGTGCAAAATGGTGTGCATTAGTATTAATTTCATGTAGTTTCCATTAGTTACTTTCTATGCTGAAGGTGAGCTGGTAAAATATATTAGAGATCAACACATCTGTTTTCAGGACTGAGTTTTATTTTTAAAAGAGCTTAGTGGATACTTCATGATAAGCTACCTGAATATTGGTTATACCTGAGCTGAAGCTTCAAATTTTCTGAAATTGGAATAAATATTTATTATAATGTTGAGAACACTAAACAGATTTTAAAACAGTTTGCATACCATGATTTTGTTTTGAAAGAATGGAAGAGTTTCTAAAAAACATTTATATGTACATGTATTTAGATTTATGTATATGTACTTATATGTATTTGTAGATGTATATATAATATATACATATATTAATATGTATATATAATATACATATCTAAATATATTTGTACATGTATATGTAATATATATATCTAAATATATTACAATGGACTCTCCTCCCCTTCAGCAGAGGGTTGACAACTTTTTTTTTAATGTAAAATTTGCTTTCTCATTGCACTTGTCATTTAATCTAAAATTAGTTTGTTTCATATGAACATGTAACAGTTGATAAAGGGGGCAGGTAACTCAGAAAGACCCTGAGTAGCAGAAGACAGGCTTCTTAACAATCCAAATTATTCATGGTTACAAACAACTAACTAATGCAAAGTATTCTTCACTGACAAAAAATAATATATAGTGAAACATAAATAGAGATTAAACCATAATCTCATTATTCTATTACAATTATTTTCATTTTTAGAAAAATGTTTTTACTTACAAACCTATCATAATCTCTATTTTGATTTAAATGACTTTTAAAAAAAATACTCTTACAAGAAGATCTACTCATTTTGTGGGTCTTATCCTTATTTTGAGGGCCAAGAAAGAACTGGCTTGGAATATGGTTCCTGCAACAAGAATTCCCAGAGTTTGATTAGATGGTAATTGTCATCTATATTATTTGAGTTCAATTTTTTTTTGCTTTATCAAGTAGCCTCTTTGTTCTCTGACTTATTTTAATATTTATGTTGAAGTCCTAACTCCCAATGTGACTGTATTTGGAGATGGGGCCTCTAAAGAGGTGATCAAGGTTAAATGAGGTCATAAGGGTGAGGCTCTCATCCAAGATGAGTGGTGTCCTTATAAGAGGAAGAGACACAGGGATGCATGTGCCCAGTAAAAAGACCACGTGAGGACACAGAGAAGATGACCATCTGCAAGCCTAGGAAAGAGGCCTCAGGAGAAACTAAACCTGCTGACACCTTGATCTTGAACTTCCAGCCTCCAGAACTGTGAGAAATAAATTTCTGTTCTAGCCACCTTGTCTGTGGGGTTTTGTTAATGGTAACCCTAATACATGTACCAATAAAATGCAGCTTCAGTCTGACATATAACTTAGAGTTCTATGTAAGCTTAGTTTGAAAATAAGGCTGCACTGCCAAAAAAGTTTAAAAACAACATATGTAAGATATAAATTATATTTGTTAAATTGTTTTTAGACAGGACTCTCAAACAATTTGTCCTTTTCACTTGTTTTGAACTGTTTGACTGTATTCTTATGTGTAACTGTGTTTATTTCTGTCATTTCTGATTCTATTATAAAATTATTTTGATAATTTCTGCTTAGATTTTTACTACATGTATGTATTTCTATTTTACTCTGATGCATACATTTGCATATTATTAATTTTATAAATATACATATTTATAATTTTTAGGTGTAAGAGTCAATGTACACTTGCTTATAGAAAGAACTAGGCAACTTGCATCTTTTTGTACATTTCTGACAATTTGTAATACGAGGCAGAATTACCTCAATCTTTAAAGTATAAAATAATTCTTGGTAAATCTATAATGTTTCTGTACACTTTGGGAGGAAAATTAGGAAAGTAACTATCGGTTTCACCTTCAATTTGCTTATCCACTCATTTATTTATTCTTTCATGTAAAATAAACATATACTGGGAGATCAAAATGTGCCAGAACTGCTGGGACTTTGCAATAGAAAGATACAATTTCCACAGATAGTTTAGTTTTCCTGTAGTTATATATTTGGTGAAGAGGTCCTTGCATTCTTAAATTAATATTATTCGTTTCTTATTTTGTTACATTTTGGTTCTGGTATTTTCATAGATATTTATTTGATCTGCTCCATGGCCAGTTTAAATTGAAAAGATAGCACTGCCCCGATTTGGAAGATGCAATATTTAGCATATGCCTACTTCATGAGTCAGCAAACTTTCTGTAAAGGCCACATAGTACATATTTTAGGCATTGTGGGCCACTTCCTCTATCTCAACTACTTAAATCTGCCATTATGGCTCAAAAGCAGCCATAGACAATATGAAAATGAATGAGCATGGCTGTGTTCCAATTAACTTTACAAAAACAGGCAGCAGGCAGAATTTGGCCCATGGGCATTAGTAGCTGATCTCTGGTCTGCTTACACTTTCTTAGTAGTTAGAGGAGATACCTGAAAAACCACCTGTTTACCTCAAATGACCAATTTCTGCTGAAAGAATAGAGAAGTTTATTGTTTGAGCTTCAATTTTCTTAATACACATACTGCAAATAATTTCAAAGCTTTTATGATCTCTTTTTTAAGGTATAAAGAGTACATTTTATGTTATTTACATTTATGAGGATTAATATGGCTTTAAATAACTAAATGGCCTTTTCCCCCATTTATTTTTGTTTATTGAGTGACTACTGGGAACAGTCACAGTGCTAAGGCTGGAAACACAAAGGTGATGGAAACAAATGGTCTGTCTAAAGCATGATGAGAACGTGGAGAAGGGGCCGGTTGTTTTTCCCTTACACAACTGAACAAAGGCTTCAGAGAGAACGTGCTATCTGAGTCAGGGCATCGGGTCTTTGCAGGAGTTTCCAGGTGAAGCAGGCATTTGCACGTATGTGTGGAAAAACACAAGACTGGAACGCAGCTGACCTATTCAGCAACGGGTGGGAACTTTACAGCACTGAAGAAGAGAGTGCTTGGAGGGTTGAGCAGAGGATGAAGGTGGCAACTTGAACTTGGGCCAGGATATGAGTGGCCTTGAATGACAAGCTTCAACCAGAAGAGCGGGGTTGACAAAATGAGCTTTGCTCTTTGGAAAATACTTCCGGCTGCATTAGAGAGGATGGACTGACACTGAGAGGGGTGGGGGTCAGGGGATCAATTAGCAGGAGATTTCAGTGATTGAGGAAAAAAATGACAAAAGCTTGTCAAAAGGCACAAAAGAAAACCTCTAGAAGAAAACCTAAAATGGAAATTAAAATAAACCTGGATCAGCACAAATAGTCCTCTCATTATAACAAAGGAAAACATGTAAAATAACACTTGCAACTATCATTTATAATCTTTTAATTACAGTTTGGCAGGGTAAAACTGGTACCGCATTTTGAAGCTAGAATTTATAGATCTACAAAATAATTTTAAAATGTTTTTCAAATATGACTAGCTTTCATATAAAGACATATATAGATAGAGCTATATACAATTAGTTATATTAACTGTATTAAACTACAGAAATTTGTATTTAGATATGTTTGTATTTAGGTACATTAACAAACCAAGAGCGAGAAAGCATGAATTTATACACATATGCATTTACCTGATCGTGGCTCTCTGCATAAGCAATGCACTTTTCAAGGTAGCGTCTGTTTGTGAGTGTGTACACTATATTGCCCATATTCCAATCTTCATCTTTAAACTCTTTAAGTAGCTAGATGCAAGAGAGAAAATAATTTGAACAAACCATTATTGTTCTTACTTTAAATCCCAATCTGAGGTATACAGCATATCAATCCAAATTATTTGACATGTAGATACAAGTGTACCTATATAGCAAAGATACCTTTGTTTAAACTTTTATTGAAATCACAGCTTTTATACAGACAGTCCAAATGACAGTGCTGTGGGTGTGTGTGTTTGCTTTTGTGCAGATGGTTTTATCATTGCACTTTAGGATTTCTGCAACCTCCTTTTCCCTGTAACAACTGCAACCTCTTGATTAATGACCACAGTGAAGGGTTGTTGTGCAATATGTTTTTCTGTAACTTTCGCAAGGTAGAGATATACTACTTGCTACATTTTTTGGTTTGAATAAAAAATTTTATCAAGAATAGTGTTTTGTTCCATTCTTAAAAAGTGATAATTAAACAACAATTATTATTTCAAAGTTTAAAGGCTAATTACCATGAAATAACTATCATCTTAACAGATGACTTTTTTTTTTTTGCTGAAGAAGATTTACCCTGAGCTAACACCTATTGCCAATCTTCCCCCCTTTTTATTTTATTTTTTTGCTTGAGGAAGACTGTCCCTGAGCTAACACGTGTGCCAATCTTCCTCATTTGTATGTGGGTTGCTGCCACAGTATAGCGTGACGAGCAGCGTAGGTCCGCACCCAGGATCCAGGCCCACAAACCCAGGCCAGCCAAGTGGAGGACGCTGAACTTAACCACTACACCACAGAGCCAGCCCCAACAGATCACATATTTTTGTCTCCATTTCAGTTGCCACTCATCTCCAATCTGGCTTCTGCCGCCCACCACTTCCATGCAAATGGCCTTGCCAAGATCTCAGACGACTGTCTCTCAGGTCAGTAATTGCTCTTTCTTAGGCAAATGCTTGCTGTACATGTTGACAATGCTGACATTATCCCTTCCCTGAAATGCTTTCTCTACCACTGTGAAACTCTCGATTGTTTTGTTTTGTTTTGTTTTCCCACCACTCTAGGCATCCTGCAAATTCTCTTTCTCTGCCTATCCTATAAAAGTTGGTGCTCCTCAGAGTTATGTCCTAAAAATAGCCTCTTCTCTTATACTCAACACACTCTTTCTGTGTGGGCCCATTGCTCTGTCCAAAGGGTCAATTACACTCTGATTGGCAGAATTCTTAGATGGCCCCCAGGATTCCTACACCCTCATATTAACATCTTTGTGTAATCCTTTATCTAGAGTGTAGACGGCACCTCTGAATATGATGGATGTCCTCTGAAGAAACCATGAAATAATAACTGAGTAATGTCTTAAGTTGCTAAGTTTGAGATAATTTGTTATGCAGCAATAGAAAACTAATGCAGATTTTGGTACAAGAAATGGGGCTCAGGCCTGCTTGTATCTTCCTACGCTGACTTTTTTTTGTCTATGGAATTCAGGTGTGCTTAGCCATCCCCCATAATTGCAGTGTGAATCGTTGGGCACCAGAAGGCAGACTGTGTTAGGCAGAATAATGGCAACCCAGAGATAGTCACATCCTAATGCCCAGAATCTGCGAATATGTTACCTGAGATGGCAAAAGAACTTCAGAGATGTGATGAATGAAGCTAAGGACCTTGAGACGGGAAGATTATCCTGGATTACCTGGATGGGGCCAACGTAGTGACAGGGATCTTTCTAAAAAGGAAGCTGAGTTGTCAGAGTAAATGACAGTACACTGCTGGCTTTGAAGATGGAGGAGGGAACCATGAGCCAAGGACTAAAGATGGCTTTTAGAAGCTAGAAAAGGCAAGGAAACTAAACCTTTGAGAAGGAAAGCAGCCTTAGTCTTAGCCTAGTAAGACTCATTTCAGATTTGCGACCTACAGAACTATAAGAACTACGACAGTAAATTTTTGTTGTTTTCAGCCACTAAGTTGGCGGTAATTAGATGCAACAACAATTTGAAACTGATGTATAGATCTACACAGATATGCACAATTAATTTTTGACAAATGTGCAAAAACAATTCAATGGAAGGAGGATAGACTGATCAACAAATCATGCTGGAAGAGATGGACATCCATTGGTAAAAAAGAACCTTAAGCGAAGTCTTACACATTGTACAAAATTTATCTCAAAGTGGATCACGGACTCAAATATAAAACTATAAAATGTTTAATAGAAAACATAGGAGAGTCAAAGAATTCTTGGACATGATACCAAAAGAAAGATCTCTAAAGGAAAAAATGATAAATTGGTCTTCATCAAATCTAAAGTAAACAACTTTTGCTCTGTGAAAGCCCAGACGAAGAGGATGAAAAGACAAGCAACAGACTAGGAGAAAATATCTGTCAACCACACATCCAACGAAAGAGTTGAATCTAGACTATATAAAGAACTCTCAAAACTCCACAGTAAAGAAATGATCCAATTAGAAAAGGGTCAAAAGACACGAACAGACATTTCACCAAAGAAAATATACAGACGGCAAACAGGCACATGAACAGATATTCACCACCATAAGCCATTAAGAAAATGTAAATTAAAACCACAGTGAGATATCACTACACACTTATTAGAATGGCTAAAAAAAAAATAGTGGGGCCAGCCCAACGGTGTAGTGGTTAAGTTCGCATGCTCCGCTTTGGTGGCCCAGGGTTCGCAGGTTCGGATCCCGGGGGCGGACCTATGCACCACTCATCAAACCATTCTGTGGAAGCATCCCATATAGAAAATAGAGGAAGATGGGCACAGGTATTAGCTCAGGGCTAATCTTCCTCAGCAAAAAGAGGAGGATTGGCAAAGGATGTTAGCTCAGGGCCAATCTTCCTCACCAAAAAAAAAAAAAAAGTGACAACCACAAATGCTGCGGTGCAAGGATGTACAGAAGCTGGATCTCTCCAATGTTGCTAGTGGGAATGTAAAGTTGTGCAGCCACTCTGGAAAACCGTTTGGCACTTTCTTAAAAAATTAAACATCCAACTACTATATGACCCAGTAACTGCACTTTTGGGTATTTATCCTAGAGTAATGAAAACTTATGGTCATACAAAAACCTGTAGGCACATACTTATAGCAGCTTTATTCATACAGCCAAAACCCGGAAAGACAAGTCGAATGTCTTTTAAAGGGCGAATGATTAAACAAACTGCGGTATATCTATACCATGGAATATTATTCAGCAATAAATAGGAATACACTATTGATACATGCACCAATGTGGATGACTCTCCAGAGAATTTTGCTGAGTGAAAAAATGGCAATCTCAAAAGGTTACATACTGTATGATTCCATTTATATAACATTCTTGAAATGACAAAATTAGAGAAATGGAGATCAGATTAGTGGTTGCCAAAGTTAACAAGTAACGGGGGCAAGAGTGAAGTAGGTGTGGCTATAAAGGCACCACCAGGGAAGCCTGTGGTGATGGAAGCGTTCTGTGTCTTGACTGTATCCATGTCAGCATCCTGGTTGTGACACTGTACTACAGCTTCGCTAGGTGTCACCACTGCGGGATACCAGTTAAGAGGACACGAGAGCCCACTGGATTATTTCTCACAACTGCATGTGAATCTACAATTACCTTAATATAAAAAGTTTAATTAAAAAACTATATATATACTAAAAAAGTACTAGATGCACAATAAATATTTGATGGAATTAATGGATAAATGAATGAATTCAATTAAACATTTATATCACCTTTACATGAACATTTCAGTTACTAGATAATAAAAATGACTGAATAAAATGGAAAGAGATACAGCAAATTAGGCATATTTTAGATAGTCAAATATTCGTTCAGTAAATGACTAAACTAATATGATATTCCAAACTACTGATTTTAAACAAATACAAGTAGAAAATGGTAAATAATTTGCTTTTGAACAACAAAAACATGATGAAATCTAGCATTCTAATCTAATTCATACCCTACAGGAAGATAACAATGCAGGCCACATACATGCTGGGTACAGCTATCATTTGAACTAATACTCTTGTGTGTTTTATTGACATTTGAGGGAAGGATAGTAATTTATGGAATTGCATTTTAAACACACAACTTATAAAACTAGAGGAAAATCCTCTTTTAGTTTTTTTTTTAATATTATTTTAACTCTCCCTAGTTTTATTAACTAAGGGCCTCGCTTGGGTGACGCAGAAAGATTTTTAAATAATTACATAACACAGAAGATGACATCTTCCTTCAGAGAATTTACAGTCTAAGAAGACAGGATGGCCAGATCCTAAACACAGGACAGGTGCATGATGTATTGCCTAGTACAGCACCTCGGGCAGACAAGGGACTAACATGTTTAGTAAGTTCAAGATTCAAAAAGAAACTGCCATCATTGTTCAGAGAAGAGAACATCCCACTGTGAGCTATGATTGACTGGAAACTAATTGTAGGTTGATACACCTAGAAATATTCTTGAATCTGCACAAAGACAGTGAAGGCTTTTCAGTAGGAGATTAAAAAGGCAATATTTGGCACTTGTGAAGGAAAAACATCTGCCTGGAAGACTAGAAATAGTCAGAGATGGTGGGTGGATAAAGAACCTTAAACTAAGGTGAGAAACTTGAAGACTACAGCATTTTTTTTTTAATTAACAAATATAAAGTGACTTTCCTAGGTATTAACGCTAGAAAACTCGTTTGTTTGTTTGACTTCTAAGTCTAATCTTCTTTGTAAAACACCTGCTTTTTGAACTGACAACGCTGAAGAATCATTACAAATAGAGAAGCAGAAGTTGTGTTGGTAGAGGTTTAATGTCACAGTTGTGCATTGCACAAATTGCCGGGAATCCTGGAAAGACAGCTAAGACATGACTGCAGTAACCACTTCCTTCAGAGGCAGCTCTGTGGTTTTTCTCTGCAAAGTTGAGAGACTTCTACCATTGTGACTTCACGGCACCAGTTCATTTCTGTCCTCTGAAAGGCTTCATCAGAAAGCTCTGATTATTTGATACATATGTGACTCCTTACACATACTCAGCCTATGATTACGAACTTGGCCACTCAAAAATGTTCTATATCAAATCTAAGTCTATATAACAACTTTAGTCTTTTAGGTAAACATTAAATGAAACAAAATATAATCCAAACTACTTGAACTGTCATTAACTTTAATAAAATAGTATTAGAAATGATGTACAATTATTCATTCCGAGTGCCTGACACATGGTAAGGACTTTTAAATGCTGAATGAAGGAATGAGTGAATTCAAATCTGTTGAGGTAAAACCATACTATGAAGCAAGTACTGGGAATCAAGGAATAACTTATACCTTAATTGATGATTTGCAGGCAGAAATGGATGCTTTGGTGAACTTTAATGTGTTTTAAATATACAGCATTAAAGTTTCATATAATTGCATTGTTAATGCAAAATTCCATTTACACAGCTAACATTATATTAATCATATTTTCCCCTTGCCTGAATAATGCACGTATGAATATTTTAAATAAGAACTTTTAGAGGTTTGAGAAGCACCTTATTAAAGAGCACAAGAATCAACACACTAATGCGAGAATACTTCAATTATAATATCTGTAACAAATGAGCACAACTAAGAAACAAATCGAAGAAATAACAAATAAACCAACATAATACATATATCCACAGAAAAAAAAATTATATAAAATCTTACCTGGATCCATTTATCCGGAATTGCCATAGCTAATCTATAGTCAAAGCCACCTCCTCCCTGGGAAATCGGAGAACACAGAGCTGGCATTCCTGAGACATCCTAAAACAAAGTACATGAGCATTAGCAGCTCACACTGCTCAACTTCTTACTAAATATTCTTCTGACAGCAAAGTCCAAGCCAATAAATAAAGACAATAAACAGAGGCATATATTTTTGGAGTATTTTGGAGCATAACTGTGAGGGTAGATAAAATTGTGATAGCATATCTCATTTCCCAATAAGGTTTTGTGTAATGCAGGACAACTTCAATCTCATGAAGTTATTCTTTTCTTTTCCTTAATGTCACATAGAGAATACAAAATAGTAAAACTATTATTGCTAAAACATAGTTTCCTAGACTTATATTTGAGCTACTGTATGAACATTTTTTATTAGCTACTGCTTTCAAGAAACACAAAAATACACGTGGCATATATCTGTTACACTTGCTCTCTCCCTATACAGCACTGACATGGAATGTACTTGGTGAACGCTTAGCTTCTGAGGAAATGGAAAGTAGTGTTAGTACATTAAGAGTGAAGCAATAAGATGGCTTTATATAGTCAGTTACACTTGGACAGGGTCTTGGAGGTTATCTTGTGAAGCCTCTTCATTTATAAGATACAGAAACCTAGGTTTATTGAGGTGAAGGGTCTCTAAAGATACATGTTTCTCAAGGGTAGAGCCAGGACTCAGATGTCAGGCCTCTCAACAGTGTCTTTCTACTCCATCATGCCACCACTAGGTTAGTGATAATCAAATGAATAAAAAATCAAACAGATAAGTAAAAAAAAAATAAAATTGGTATAAAGATCCCAAGGTAACAAAATATATTATTATAACAACTGTTGCAAAATATGAGCCAAGTACTAGTAATTCTAACTCCACAATATCTTTCAAATAAACCCCTTTCTTTTGTTCCATTTCTACAGCCGCTATCTTATTTAATCTTCATTACTCCTTGCTTAGACCATTATATTTCCAAATGGAATTCCCCGTCTCCTGTTTCTTTTCACACCCACTGCCGCCAAATTAACATCTTATGGGAGAGTCTGCTCCTATCACTGTCCATCAATAGCTTTCAATAGCCAACAATTGAAAACTCAAATTCTTTAGCTTAAGATTCAATTCAACAATCATACTTGAAGCATCGATGATATAATTTACTATTTGATTATCTGCTTTCTCACTTGCTGTAAGAATGTAAGATTCACGGGGCAGGAGTTGTGTGGATGCTGTTGCTGTTGTTCATGAGGTATGCCAAGAGTCTAGAGTAGTAGAAGAGAACCTGGCACAAAGCAGGAACTCAATAAATATTTGCTGAGTGATTGAATGAAGGTGCTGTCAAAGATTTAAAAATAAATAACACACAATATTTGACCTTCAGGACTGATAAACTAGGACCTAAATAAACAGACACACATTTATTATCATGAAATGACAACATGATGTAGTTATTGTTCTTAACTGAAGACACAGAAAGCGCAATGGAGAGACCTACATCTTTCCACCATTATTTCTAAGATTTCATTTCAAGCATTAAAAACATCATTCACTTTGAAATGTTTACTCTTCCCTGTGCTGGTCACACGCTTTTCTACACATGTCACTGCCCAAACTCTTCCTTGGATTATTTTCTTTACTTCCTATAAAAGACTATCACATACTCCGAGCTCTCTGGGACTTAACTCAAACGCTTCTTCTTCCAAACACTATCCCCAAACTCTTCCCTCAAAAAGGCTGGAAAAAAGAAATATATGACCTCTCTGGACTTCCAAAATAATTTATTAACTGTTTTCTAATGGAAGAGACGTACAGTTAAATACAGTACATGGTGAAATACATCCATAAGAAAATATTTGTCAATAATATCTTATTTCTACACAGTACTTTATAAAAGTGAAAAAGGATGAATGGTTAATAGAAAAGAAACTATTTTAAAAGAAGTTATGTTTATCAAAATATGTCACATTTTCACAGATATGATAGGTAATCAGTTCAATTCCTTATAAACATTGGCTGAATCTGTATTAAATATCAGGCACCCATGTTAGGCACTCAAATTACAGAAACAGTGCCTTCCAGAGGAATTTTCATAAGACTGGTGATAGGCTGGTATTAAAGATCAAGATAATTTTTTTCAAGAAAACAGTAAGGTGCATTCTATATTTTGTCTAAAGGCAGTTTTAGGAAATAGTATGATACGAAATAAAATCTAAGAAAAATATGTGGGTACCAACTGGCCTTGACTCCTAAATCCGAATCCTAGAAAGCTGCCCCTTTAATGCATATGAGATACTTGTAGCTTTCTTTTGAAAATGGCAAGTTAATAACTATCATTTTAAAACCTTAAAAGAAAAAAAAAAGATAAAGATGACTAAAATACATATATTTTAAATATAAAAAAGTTGATGCCGACATAGTATATTAAAACAACCATATGTGTTTCAAATGAAGTTAAAATAGCTTTGTTTAATATCTAAAGATCACTTATGACTATTCCAGAGGGGGGGATCCTCAATCAAAAATATTTTTAATTAATATAACAAATATAACAGTGTGGAATGGTAAATATGTTCTAGAAAAAAAGGCTTCAATTTTAATAACTGTCATTATAAATAAATTCAAATTTCTACTTTAGGACTTTATATAAAATTACATTATTTATTCATTACACCACATTTCTTTCTTTAAAAATAAGTTCATGAGGATCAATTCCACATTTTGAAGAAACTCTCACTAGACAGAAAAGTGATGTATTGAAATTGAAGTAGTTTTGAATTTAAGTAGAATAAACTGAAGACAAATCTTGTTTAAAAAAAAATCTAAAACCAAGTAATATAAAGTAGGCTAAAGCCTCAAAGTTTCAATGGTAGAAACACTGATAATCAGACAAGAGCCCCCCGGCTGAAGAAACTATGTTACTTGAAATGAACAGAAAGATCAATGTAACAATTCTAAGTTTCATGTATTAAATAATTGCTTCTTTTTCTTCAGTACCCATTTTTGATTTGTGCTGTCATTAATTGTTTGTAGTAATTTGTCATATAATGTCTCTGCGCTTTGAACTGCCATAAATATAACTGACAGACTAACTTTCTTAATGTTTGACAGACAAAATTAAAATACATAAAAGACAAAATAAAAGTTTAAAATATGCTCTGATTGATGTTAAAAAATATTCGGCACATGGGGCCAGCCCGGTGCCATAGCGGTTGAGTTCACGGGCTCCGATTTGGTGGCCTGGGGGTCACAGGTTCAGATTCCAGGCCTGGACCGACGCACTGCTTGTCAAGCCATGCTGTAGCGGCGTCCCATATAAAGTAGAGGAAGATGGGCACTGATGTTAGCCCAGGGCCAATCTTCCTCAGCAAAAAGAGGAGGATTGGCAACAGATGTTAGCTCAGGGCTGAGGAAGGAAGGAAGGAAGGGAGGGAGGGAGGGAGGGAGGGAGGGAGGGAGGAAGGAAGGAAGGAAGAAATATTCAGCACATAAAGTATTAGCCAGATTTAAAAGCTATGACCACATGTAGGTAGGGAGAGCATGTGAAATAATACAAGGTATCAAAATGGTATGATAATTGTGGGTTTTTAAAAAATCCTATATAAGAATTTATTCCAGGAATTTAGGGTCCATAGCTCTATTCCTAGAAGATATTTAGAAGGCAAAAGGCCCCAAAAGAGTAACTGTTCTCTATCCAGAGATAAACAAGGAAATCATACCACCTACTTGGAGATTTGGGGTTTTGAGAAACAATGGATAGAAAAAAGCCTATACACATAAAAAATACCACAGGAAGGAGACTGTCCCTCCTGCATTCATTCCAATGAACTTAATGCCAACAATGGGAAAACACACTTTGACTCTTCTACAACAGTCTTACTATTTTTATATGCCAGCCACTACACTTTATATAGAACAATTTTAACCTACTAAATCCAATTTTAATAATAATTCTTAGTTAGAAGACTCAGAAAACCAAAGGGATTTTAGTACTAAATCTAAATTAGCATAAGCATTTAACAAACTTCTTAATTTATCACATTTATCACAAAGAGGGGAATTGTCAGTTATGCATATACCGAATTATATCATTACAGTGCAGGTTTGGGACAGTTAATCATGAACCTTCAGTAATCATGAATAACTAGTGAACATTTGGCAATCCGAGAGCAATAACGTAAACAAGAAATGTAATCGCATCAGAACGAGAGAGGCTTCAGAGAAGCTCGCGGGCAGTGATCCATGCCATCTCTAATGATTAAACCAGGAAAGAAAAAACAAATAAATAAATAGACACACACACATTAATATTCAATTCTTTACTCCGCTGCAGGTCTCATGGCGGAAGGACCTGTCCACTGATTAGGGTATTTCACTTTCCAACTACTGGCATTTTCTTTTTTAACAATGGAATGACGGCAAGTACTTTGTGTACAGCATCTCCTAACAGAAGCGCAGTGAATTCTAAAGAATGTGCCACCCATACGAGGTAGCTGCACTCTAGTCAGGGGGCCATTTCAGCTATGCAATTATTGACAACTCAAGACTGATTATTCAGATACTGTGTGCCGACAAATGTCCTCTATTAAAGGGGGTCAGTGGGTAGAGATCGTTATGGCTTTACCTCAGCTATTGTTATAGAGTCTGGATACAATGTGTGAATCAAATGATTTGCCAGCATGAGATAAGTCAAGGCATCTTCATCTACTTGTAGTCCAAAATATTCATGGTAATCACCTGAAAAACCTTCACCTAGAGAACAGAAAATAAATATGGATGCATTATGTTAACAAGCAAGTCTTAACTGCACAAATGCCCCCACCAATTAGTTTGTTGATGTCGGTTTTGCTATCATAGCAAAGTGTAATGAGCCTCGAATTCACATAGTGTTACCATTAGCAAATCTATGGAATTCCATATCAACATTCAGAGTTCAGACAATCCTGCAATGCAATTTTTGTTTTACAAAAGCAAACAAAAACATTTTGATTTAAAATTTTAATTTAATTTTAACTGAATTTTACAGCACAAAAATAAAGCAAAATGATACTGAAGAGAATTTTAAATTTCAACTTTTGGATATATTTTTTTCTCACATAAAGAGATGTTAATATTAGCTGGCTCCTATCAGGTCCCAATGAGATAAAGTAAAGCAAATATGAAAACCATCATAAAATTGAGACTTAATGTTTATATTATTTTAAATATGGGTTTCAATTTATACAATATGGATTTCCTATGACAACAAAAAGATTTTAACATTCTCCTACTCTTTCTGTATCCTCTTCCTCCACCTCCTAATTTTGGTTGCTTATAGTATGCTTCTCTTACTGGGTTATACCATTTACCTTCTATTCCTTCAGTTGTTTGCTCTTATTTTTAATTAAATCAAATTAGTGCTCAATATCTTCCTTTTTTTCCTCTGTTTCCCTGTATCTAAGTTCTTTACTTTGACTCACTTTTTTCAGTTTACTAGATTCCATCACTGAAGGTTTTCATGTATAATTATGGAAGTTTTATTCTGAAGGTTCTTTCAAATTTATAACTCAATGGCAATTCAACTATCACATCCTTGAGTCACATTTTGTTTCCCTAAGAATTGTGTAGACACTGTTGTTGGCAATAGAGTAGTATGCGTCCAGCCATTTTTTTTCCATCTATAGCGGTAAATTGCTTTTTCTTCCTAGTTGCCACCTGATGAATTTCTCTTCATCACTGAATTTTATAAATTAAACACTCTGTGGCTTGATGTTAATTGCTTTATCTCAATTTTTTTCTGGTATATTATGTGTTCTTTTGCAATTTCAGTTTTGTTTTCTTCCCTCTCATTTCAAAGGGCGAAAACATGTTAAGTAACTCAGAATGTTTTTCTTTACTATTTCTTGGGCTCTTTACCTATAAAAAGCATATCCCATATTCACGGACTTCAGTTCATTTCCCCCATTTCAAAATTCCTTGGAAAATACCTAGCCCTCAGCAGAGGGAGGTTCTGCAGGGGAATGCAGGTGTTTTAATCTAGGAGAGGATGTTTCTGGAATTTAGCCATGCTTGCCTTTTTCATCCCCTAAGTCAGCTTCTCTCCAAACTGGAGGATATCAATAAAAGCTGTCGTGTTTTATAGATTCAACTTCTCTCCTAGGAACATCTCATGGGGCAGCATGATGATTAAGAACAGATAGCAGCGCGCTTTGAATATAGCTTCTTTCCTTGACAGCCACTTTTCAAGATTTACAGTCTAAAGTCCCTTTTTTGGATTGGTTGTTGCTGGTAAATATTTGGCCATTAAAAAATAATAATTGTTCGCTATGTTATCTATTGAGGGATTAGGATTCTGTGATTCTACTTTGTACAATTTTTAAACTAAAGATCTCTGATCAATATTTTAATTACAAATTAATTTACAATTTAATTTTAACTGAGTACATCTATATTTAAAATATACATATTTTCTTCAACGTTTAATATGCCAAGGAACCCACATGTTCACAAATGTTCCCATTTATTATTTCTGTTATTTATTTTTCATTTCAAATGCTGTCACATTCACATCCTGAGGGTGCTGCAATAAATGGTTTCCCTAAAAAACATTTTTAAAAGAAAGCTACATCTTAAGGATAGCATATTATTAAGTAGATATATTTCAAGGAAAATCATTATCTTTCATTTACTGATAAAATGGATTTATACCCAACCTCTTGCCAAAAAAAAGATCAGAAGTGACTAGAGACAAGACACACACAGTGGAACTAATAAAAATCAAGCCAGCAAGAACGGTCATTGGAGCTTCTGTAACTGAACCCCAAATCTGTTTACAATCTTCCTGTAAAAAATAAAATAAAATCATCAGTTATGTCTGTAATATATCAGGGTACCTACCAATTCCATGGTGATGATAGAGCATGGATGTAACACCATCAAAACGAAATCCATCAAAGCCATATTCTTCCAACCACCATCTTATGTTTGACAGAAGGAATCTTAAAACTTCCCAGCTAAAATATTAGAGAAATATATATTTAAGAACACTGTATACAATGTTTTCCTTAATTGTTATACATCATTTGCTGAGAGTATTAGTTAAAATTATAAATCTCTGTCTTAGGAACCATGATGTTTAAAGAAATAATATCATATAAAAACCAAAAGACTACTAATAATTTATCTCATTTGTTTGATGAAATTCATTTTAAAAGGAAAAATTATTAAACTTCTTTAGCTGCAAAATCACTTAATGTCTGAGAAAAACAGAAAAATGTGTAGGATGAGTCCAAAGTGCAGGGACTCTGTCCTGCTCAATGCTATGTCCTCAGCCACTGTGCAGCAATTACTACACAGTAGTGCTTACCGAAGAAAACAAAATCTGTTAGTTATCTGTGAATTTTCATCAAGATTTTTCATATAATATAATCAGTTATTTAGTTTCTCCTTCTAGAAAATATAATTTCATTATCAGTAGTAAAACTGCCTTCAACGTTTGTCTGCTTAAAATAGTTCCTTATTCTACAATTTCAAACAGACACAATTCAGAATAAAAAGTCACAGGAAAAAAAGACTTTTAAAATCAACCACATGATAAGCAGTATTACATTATAGACTACTATTTTGTGGGGGTAAAAAAAAAAAAGAGACCTAATTACTAAAAACATATGTTTAATAAGTAAAAAGTTCTACAAATTAAAGAGTCCTACATCCATAAAAACAGAACAAAAACAAAGAACTATTATAACTCAATTAAAAACGCCACACGAAACAAGCTCATTTCGGACAATTGAAAAGAGGGCATCATCAGTTAGTATTTTCCTCAGTCATAGAGTTATGGTTGAGTTCTCTATCTTATTATAACCATGGTTTTAAGACCTTAATACCTCATTTAGTTTAATGAAAAAGCAGTAATAGTGTACACAAATCTCTAGCCCAGTTGAAATCTATGTATTTTCTTAAACCTTCCATATATTAAAGAGTAATCCGACATAAGTGGAGATTAAGTCATCACAATCAACTCCAGAATTGTAAAGCTAAACTTTGGGGAAAGATGAGTGTTGTTGGTAATTAACTGCTTTAAAAAAGTTACTTTGAGTTTTCAAAACTGACTGAAAGTTAAAAAAAGAAATGAAAAAATAGAAATCCAAGCAATCTAGTAGATACGAAAGGGAGCCAGGAGGTTGGTTCTAGATTATTAGGTCCAAGACATGATGAAGGGAGAATTTGATTATGTTTCTATTAATACATATTCATTTAGAGTTTAAGGAAAAAAATTCTGTTTAAGAAAACCAAATGAATAAAAATAAAGAAGTATTCTTCAATGGAACAAGATCAAAATTACTCTATATTTTGTATAGGAATTTCTATTTATACTTTTTTGAAGTTTTTTAAAAATTAATAAACCATTATTTTAGAGCAGTTTTAGGTTCACAGCAAAATTGAAAGGAAGCACATCTATACTTTTTTTTAACAAGGTTGCTATATTAATATTTCAGAAAAGAGAAAAAATAAACTTGCATATCAATAATCCTTTGTAAATAATGTTTTGCAAAGGATATATATTTTTCTAATTTGGCCATTTGACTGGTAATGTATATATTACTTTTGAAAGGTAAATTGAAAGATATTTTTAGCCAAAAATATCCCAGAGTAGAAACAAAACCTGTTTAAATACTAAATATCTTGGATAGATGCATGAAGATATGAATATGTACACCAGAGATCACAAACTGGCTTGATCTGACGTGCACTACTGTTTTGTTTAGCTTGCAGAGTACTTTAAATTTTTCGATTTGAATTTCTGTAGCTGGAACATGTATTTTCTAGCACGTCCCAGTCCCTGCCACTCCACACTTTCTTATACCAACCCTATTTACTCATTTACATCACCAGCTGGGGCTTGTGAACATTTGCTGTCAATTTCCAACATAAATATCATGGACTGAATATTTTTCAGGTAGGCGTAGGTTCAAACGTAAAAACTATGCCCTAATATCTACAAAAAGAAAAAAAGAAAAAGAGCCAATGATATTGCAATTCAATGAAAAACATAAAAAGGAGATACTAGGAATGACTGAAAAGAAAGCATTGTCCAACATCACTTAGTTGATTAAGGGCAGAGTTACTAAATGTCCTACTGATTCCTGTTATGACAATATTTAATCTATTCTCTTTTTGACCAACAGGAGTAATAAAACTGCAATTGACATATTAAAAGGAAAAAGACATATTTACTTGTAACTATGTGAATAAAGAGATTCTTGGCATGGATGAATAGAAGAAGAATTACCTGTGGTAATCAAAAAAGAAACAAAAATGACAATGGAGCATCTGATTAAAAAGTTCTAATGGGTTAAGAAAATAAAGTCTATTCTTTAGACCTCCAAAATGCTCTTAACCTGAAATAATGCCTAAACAACACAAACAATTCTAAAAAAAAAGTCACGACAAGATTAAACTGATAGGAATAAATCAAATTTGTAGTGCTTTCAAAATAATTTATTTTATGAATCATTAATGAAACATAAAATAGAAACAGAAAAGAGATACACAAAATTTACAGGAGAGAAAACTATCTAGAACAAAAATAGGAAAGAAAGAAATGTAGGACGTTTTACTTTCTAACAAAGTCTCAGGAAACATTCAGGAAAAGAAAATCAGACCTAAATTTTTTAAGTTAGTAGCAACAAAAGGAAAGCAAAAGTTAAAAATATCAATTCTCTGATTATATTCATTTTCTAAAACTAAATTAATAAAAAGAGTTAAGTAAAACACACAAACAGGTAACATTTTATAGACAATTAGCCTTTGTTGTTCAAGAAAAAAATGAACTACGAGTGCAGGAAACAGGAGGAAAAACAGACTTATAGATAAGTTCCTAATATTTCTGTGGTACAAATTTTGTGTCTCTGATCATCTTAGCGTGATAAATCTAGACAGACTAATTCACTGTCTGTAAACTCAGTGTCCTGATGCAACTACTTTTAAAACACAGACTGCCTGTATTCAGGTCACAAAATCAGGGCTTTAGAGCTCTAACATCACAGAGAAGCAGGAAGACTGAGGTTTGAGTCTGTAAAATAACCGTGAGTACCCGCATGAACACAATCCAGAACTCAAAAGTCGAAAAACAGTGGGTCACAGAGCGTTCAGTGTTATTGAAACGAAGATGTAGTTTTTTTTCTTTTTCTTACACTATGTGAACATCCAACTTAATGTCGACAATGTATTTAATTATTATATACACACATTTACCCCAGATCACTGTTCTTAAATTACAAGAGGAAAGCTGTGCCAGGGGTCCCTAGACCCCCTCCAGGTTGTGATTCACTAGCAGGACTCACAGGACTCAGCATACAGTCGTGCTCACAGCTGTGATTTATTACAGTAAAAGGATAAACAGCAACATCAGCAAAAGGAAAGCGTGTGGGGCAAAGTTCAGAGGAGTCTAGGTGCAAAGCTTCCAAGAGTCCTCTCCAGGCGCAGTCACACTTAATTCCTCCAGCAATGAGTTGTCTCAACACTTGTGAAATGTTGTCTACCAGGGAAGCTCATTAGAGACTCAGTGCCCCTCGATTTTATTGGGGGCTGGTAACTGGGCATCCTCTGCCTTAGCATGTATCAAAATCTAGACTCCCAGAAGGAAAGCAAGTGTTCAGGATAAGACACATTGTTTATAGGAAGAGTTTAGGTGCAGTGAGCCATTGTCTTCAGTTCTGGGAAGGGTAAGAACCTTCCGGAAATGCAAGTTCCCAGCTGCTAGCCAAGGGCCAATCTCTTAGGCAAGTGTTTCTAAGGATAGCAGTTTTAGTCCTGCTATACTAACTCTTTTCCGCACAAAAACAGAGCCTAACATTTATTACATAATTATACAATACTTACTATAGTTTACTGGAGAAAAAACTTCTAAAAGCATTTTATTTCAGAGGTATTGAGACCTCAAAACTAGTGGAAGAATCTTAAATATATATTAAAAATCTAAATACGTAAGGACCTCTGGCGGAAATACGCTGTCCTGCACTCCGCCTTCCAGCTGTCACATGGACAACGAAATCAGGAAGCCTCTACAGGAATGAACTGGTTCCCTGCATCTAACATTTGCCTTTTAAATACAACACCAGAACAAGCTTAAGGGATATGTACCAGTGAAAAGACAGACTTCTGAAAGATGTCTATTGCTATTTCTACTATCATAATGTTCAAATTCAGCACCCATCAATTCCATTTTTCCTTCTTTGGTGGGGTTGAGAAGAAGAACAGTTATGATGTATTCCAAATTACGACTGAATTAGAAACATTACTCAACGTGTAGTAATAAATGAACTGAATCATCTCACTTGAGTGGTTTGCCTTGAGTCCAAGTATGAAAATGTCTGGCAAAGAGTACCATAAAAAAGGCAATTTACTTTTTCTACCTCAAAATGTCATCAGACAGCCCATAACACAGTTGATATATCCAGTTGATTAGAGTCCCATAAAAATATAAAGTGCAATTTAAGAGCACGGTTTTAGTTGGTGTGTTCTAGCACACAAGGCGGAACTTTGATTTTAAGATTACTCCATTGAGGCTTTTACAGCCTATCCTTAGAAACCACGGGGCAGCCTAGTTTGCAAACAATTGGAGGAGTTAGATGCTAAATTTTAGAAGTCGATGGCAAAAAATATATACCTTAGTGGCCAGCACGAATGTGTATGAGAAGTACCCTATTTTAGTTATTAGCTTTATATCTTAAACTAATTAACATGTTAGAAACTAATACAATGTCATCTATACTGCCTACAGTCAACTGATTAACTTACATTTTTATGAAGCAAAAACAAAATCCCTAAAATCCAGGAAAAGATAATGAAATGCAGCTGACCTTCTTGTGAATCATAAACCACTAAAAATGTTTAAATCACAGATGTCTAATACAGAAACTGAACACATCGATGGATAATATACACATTTAAGCATTTCTGGCAATCAAAATAATAAGGATTCTAATTGGTTTAGATGTCTGAAATCTTC